GCAGAAAAGGTCAAAAAAAAAAGTTAAGTACGGAGGAAGGACCAACCAGTGTCCGGAATTCACAGGCGCCAACGCGCCAAATGCGCCTAAAAAATCGGACATGGCACCTAACAAATGAAGGCTCTGCGCCAACGTGGCCCCTAAAAATTACCCCCTAAAAATCTGAAATTTCATATTGGGTGATTATTCGAAATTTTCAGCACCATATGTGAAAGCTCTTTCTATTCTTCACGATTTCATCATTTGTGCTTTTGTCTTCCCCATGTTACAACTACTTACTAGTTTTGTTACGAAAACATCTTGCGTCTATATTTTCACTAAATGCGCCGTAATATGTAGGAAAAGGGTCAATTTGGCCCCTAAAAAATAGTCAATGGCGCCTAAAAAGCGGGCTTGATGCGCCACATTGCTCCTAAAACTCAAAGGTGAATTTCGAACACTGAGACCAACTGACCCAGATCTAGTTAGAAATAGATCTCAAAACGTCTATACTATCCCCATAATGATTTCCTATAAATATATAAAACCAGAGATCAAAAACCATGCATAATTGAAATCGGAATTACAATCTTTCGGACTATTCTTGGAGTCACCGTCAGATTATCAGCACGACCTCCGTGTGCCTGTAATTCTACGAAAAGCGAGAAAAAGTATCATTTTTCTCGCCGGGGGTTACGTAAACTACACCTGCCGAAGTGCGGAAACTTCAATTCCGTTGAGCCCATTCGTCCCCATGGTTACGCAACGACCCCCCTCGCCCCCCTCCCCCTCCATGCACTGCAGACTTGCCAAACTTAAACTGCAAATCTTCAAATGATCGTGAAATCATTGGGACAGAGAGGTGAAATGAGAAGAAAAATTCGCTGATTTTTCCGGATAACTAGGTTTTCTCTGAACCGAATGACTGAAGTCCTTGTAATTGCTCGACTTAAACAGCAATAAACACTCTAATTTTTACCGATGTATGCCAAAAGGCGGTTTCCGGTGTCGCGCACCTTCACCCGAGTTGATTTAAGTAGTTCTTATACTTGTAAATTTCATCTCATCATAGCTAATCTCTGTTACTTAGAGTCCTAATAATTCTTGTTCCTTAAACTCAATTTATCACTTTCATTGTAAGTGAAAACGTATCTGTTCTATATCAAGCGATAATAAACAGGAAAAAAAAATGCTCGACTGACTGTAACTGCCGACGCACCCAGGATTGCACGGTCACGAACGGCAAAAGACGACGCTCGACTAGAGGGGGGGGGGGGGTCCTCAATCAGGGGTGCAGAAAATGCTCGATCAAGTGCCCGCCCAGGCGCGCGAAAATGTGGAAAAGTCCACGAAAATGTGAAAGGAGGGAACATTTTGAAGGGTCAAAAGTCAGAATCAAAGGAAAACAGATGGACAAGGTCAACTTTTTAGAGATTGGTGGGAAATTTTGTGGAAAACTGATGAATAAAATGTGGAAGCCTGGAAGGTTCTGCACCCCTGGTCTCGATACCACTGTGCTCCGGCGAAAAGTACGTTATCCTCCCCCCCCCCCCCCCCCCCCCCCCCCNGCCCATCTCAGGAAAAGACTCAAATAATTCATTCCTACATTTTGTCCTGTGTGTATGTGTGTATGCGTGTATGATGTGTTGCAGGAAGTTAAAGATCGCCAATTAGTAATAAGGCCAATGGTAATAAGTAGAAAAACATAAGATTTTAATATGAATACATAAATCGAGTGTACTCAATATGAGAGAATTGTGACATTTGGTGAGTTGTGTGAGCGCTTGGTGAAAAAAGTGACCTGTACAGGCAGCTAAATTAACAGCATGACAACGCGTAAAGTATTTGTATCAGGCGAAAATGAAGGCGCTTCATTCATGTCGAGATCTTACTATCCTCATCGATACTGTCTTCACTATGCGGATGCTAATTACTGCAATTTGGAAATGCAACGCGCAGGCCGCTTGCAACTTGCCGAGGATCGCTAATGGAGATACAGCATGCGTGAGAAATTCGCGATTTTGGCCGAGGAAAGGTTTCGTACTGTAGAAAATGGCGCTAAAATCAAGATGAGGGCATTGGAGAAGTCTGAAATACACTCGTAACTTCACAGTCTGCGTAAGTAATTAGCGATTTTTTGAACCTTCCCGCTGATAAAACGATGGATACGACTCAGGTGAAAATTTTGTGAGAGGAGACGTTCTACACAACCCTTGTGCACTGTACGCTACAAAATATTCAACATGGCTGAAACTTCCACGCGCAAATCGTAAGGAAGCATCATGATCTTTATCAACGCAAGGGAAATGTAAATATAAACACGCCGGTTGATAAAATTCTGTCCCGTCACGTGTATTTCGGCGAATTGGTGTCGGCCATGTTGAATATTCCGTAGCATCCTAGTGCGCAAGGCGCAAGGGTTGCGTGAAGCTCCTCTAACGAAATGTTCACCTGTGCCCTGTGCCAAAGTATCGTTTTTGAAGCGGGAAGCTTGGAAAAACGCACTTTTTTACGCAGATTGTGAAGTTAGGTGTGTACTCCAGGCTTTGCCGACGCGCTCATTGTGATTTTTGAGCCATTTTCTAGAAGAATTAACTTTTCTATTTGCTCTGGCTGAAGTATGCAACAGACCCGTTGAAGTCATTCGCTGAAAAAAAAAAACCTCTGGCCGTAGAATCCGTACTTACGGGCTGCTATATATAGACACACCGTCCGCATTCCAGGCTCAGAGGCCGAAAATTCCGGGTGTAGGACTCGGAGCAGTCGAAGCTACGTCTCCAGCACCCGGAACTTTCAGCCTCCGAGCCCGGAACAGACGGCATGTCTTCTATACAGCCCATAATTAATTCTAATGTTGAAATCAGATGACTGGTAAGAGAACAATTGGATTGCATTTTGCAAAAAGGAACCACCAGCATTGCAATGTTGCTAAGATCGTGCAACTTCTTTTGTCTTGGAGGAAAAACCCGATTATCCCTTAATAGTTTCTATTTTACTCGCTAAAAACTGAAAATTTAAGACAAAAATTACCATCTAAATTTCATAGTTTTTCACAATTTCCGCAATTTCATTGCAAAGGATGAAGTTGCACAATCTTAGTATCATTGCAATGCTAGTGGTTCCTTGTTGCAAAATGCAATCTAATTAATCTATTAACACCATCAGCAGCGCCAAGCGGCGCGCGGCGGCGCCGGCGCTTGTTGCACCGCGCGCGCCGACCGGCCGGCGCGGTGACGCACTGCCGCGACGAGACCCAAAAATTCGAAAGCAGGTAATAAGTGAGCTTAACCAAGGTGTTGCCGCATCGCGAAGAAGGATCCGACCACCACGACGGGTTTCAGAAGGCGCCGACCCACGCATTGTTACCGGCAACGCGGGCTCGCAACTTTGGGAACAAACAAGTTCGGATTACGAAACCTAATCGACTTGGACGGCGGCAGCGTCGCGTCGCGACGGCCACCGGGCGACACTCCGTTCTGCCACCTCCTTCGTCCACGCTCCACCGTCCGCGCACCGGCCGCATTGTTGGTCTTGGTCGTTTCATCACCGGCGATTTTGGGCGCGGAACTCGGAGATCGGGATGGTTTCGTCGCCCGATTCATGGAATCGCGGTTTCGCCGTGGCGTCTGATGGAGTGACGTGAAATGAACGGAATCCATCCGCAGTGTTCGAAAACAGGCGCCAACGCGCCAAATGCGCCTAAGAAATCGGCCATGGCGCCTAAAAAATGAAGGCTCTGCGCCATCGTGGCCCCTAAAAATTGTTTCTCCCAAGAAAGAAAGAAAAAAAAAAAATCCTAGGTTTTCTGTTTGGTGATTTTTCGAAATTTACCCCAAGCAACAGCTGCTAGTTCTGTAACTAAAACATCTCGCGTCTAACTTGTCACTAAATGCGCCGTGATACGTAGGCAAAACGTAAATTTGGCCCCTAAAAAATCTTGAATGGCTCCTAAGAATCGAGCTTGATGGGCCACATGGCTCCTGAAACTTCAAGATGAGTTTCGAACACTGCATCCAATATTGTTCGAAATAATATTTGGCTGCCGCAAGAACCGAGTGATGGGGATGCGGAGTGAAATCCACTTCCTGGAGGAGGGGTGGATTCATCCCCGCATTCGTATCACTCAGCGGGCTGATTATTGAAATTGATAGACAAATCTATGGACAAAGAAGACATAGAGACCATGGAGCGATCTATTGTGGTGAGATGAATGATCGATTATCGATTTTTCCCCATTTGAACTGCGGAGCGGTCAGGGGGTGTACCTGTACCCCTTCGTATTAATACTAAAATGAGCTATTAATATTGCCTCCTCATTGCAAAATGTGGTTCAATTTATTTTTATTTACAAATTCCTTGAGGTTTCAGTGGTTTTTGGGGAATGTTTTCTCACGTGCGAACTTAAAATTCAATTGTTGATTGTGAGAGAAGCGCGCACAAAGTTGCACAATCTTATCAGACATAGCGGCTCATTGTACGTATAAAACTGAATCATAAGAAACGCCGGCGCGCTATTTGAGTAAAGACAAAGAGCTTGCCAAAACAGGCAACATGGGGATGCAAACTTCCTGTTTTGCTACGTTTCAGATATAAAATAAACCAAACTCGTGGATGATAAATACATCTTAATATGTATGAATGCCAATCGCGAGTCGTGTGGGTGTGTGCGTAAGGAGGGGCAAGAGGGAGAGCGTTTGAGACACACGTGTCTATCCACCGTTCCCTTTTAATGGCGTCGATCATTTTTTTTACACTTGTGCTCCGAAAAAATACTCTTGCACACAGACACAGGCGAGCGCCTACCGTCGTTGTTAGCACCTGACAAGTCCGTTTTCTGGTGGGACTTGACGCGCATAAGAATGCTCGCGTAAGAGGGCTCATAAAAAAAGCGGTGTTGGGTTTTTGTATACACGAATGGTTTATTTTTACGAGCCGAGCGGACGTGGACCGGCGCGGGCATCAAGGTCGAACGCACGTCATAAACACGAGAGCGGACGAAAAAAAACACGCATGGAACTCACCGTTAGTGGTGCGAGAGGTGCAGTCCAGATACTTCTGACCGGTGTCATCGTAGAGGAACTGAGCTTCGGACCGGACGATTTTGACCGGTTTCTGCCCGAAGTGCAGCTTGCACGCTCCTCTGAAACAGATCAAATAATTCGATTAATCTTCATCGCCTCTGGGAACCAGTGGAAAAAGATTTAAGGCCGTGTTGATGACGTCGTTCTCGGAAAAAACAAACTAGCGCTGAGCCCAACGACAAAAAGACGGAGCGCTAGAAGAAGAAAATGAAGCCACTTCTCCTATTGCTTAGAGATACCCACATCCTAAGACTGGATTTGAGTATTTATGCTCGGAAATATCTTTGTAGAAGAATCGAAAAGTTGAAAGCGCTCTGCCATTTTGGATCCCCAGAGTAAACTTCCGTGCTAAGGAAAAACGCCGTATGAACCTTCAGGAGCTGCCAAATGTCCTTTGATAAAACTTGAATTTATTAGTAAAATTATGAATACCTTTCTTCCAATTTTTTTGGATAATATTGTTCTCGATTTCACCTCAAATTCCCCGAAAATGTCAAGGAAAAATATTCATAGCTTTCGTCCATAATAAACATTTTATCGAAGGAAATTTGGCAAAACTCGGATGTTCATGCGGCGTTCTTCCTTAGCACGCCAGTAAAGCCCGCCGTTGGCGCCTAGCCGTGGGTAAAGCTGTGAGTGCCCGGGCAATCAAAACGCCTTCACTCTCGTATGTATGCAACACGGACATCTTTGGGGCCCGAATAGTTGCATCCAGGAGTCGAAATGAAATTCCTTTGGTGTTCGTCGCATTCGGAATTTTTTGGTTTTCATTTTTCGCCGATTTCAAACCTAAAGTAAGTAGCCTGACCGAACGTCCAACGTTTGTTTTTGTTGATACAGTGCTAGTTGACACAGATCTGCTGTCAATCAACCGATAACCATCGAGATCTCAATGCATAAATTATTCAGCTTGTCTGGTAAATTACTTTTCACTTCGTTTCCAAAAATGGAAATAAAGAAAGATTTACGAATCGACAAAAAGTAAGACAGGTAACAAGGAAGATGGAACGTTGATGATGATTTAATTTCAAGAGCATGAAGCAGATAAGAATCTTGGGAAAATTTGGTTACGCTTTTTCACCTCTGCAGAGTGCAATAAATTAGACTTAATCCCTTCGACATCCGGCGTGACGCCATTTCGATACCAAGCGACGGTTCCTCGTTGTAATGTTTTGGCAGAGAAGAGGATTTTCGAGAGCGCTGACACACCCGTACTGCCGTCCTGAGGAAGAACGTCTTATGAACATTCGAAAGTTGCCAAATTTCCTCCAATAAAATTTCCATTTTCAAGGAAAGATGTGAATATTTTTTCATCGAAATTTTCAGGAGCTTTAGGTGAAACTAGGGGGCTACGCCCCCGCCCCCCT